TAAGACCATTAACAATTCCTCAAGCCAGTGCAGAAAATTCTATTCTGTCCATCTCCAAATGGCAGTAGTCAATTCAACAGCTTCTTCATTAAATGGGTTGGTTTTTTTTTTGCCACCCCCAAATTAAAGCTATAGTTTCGTTAACATTTCTGGGGGAATAATGAACTTACAGTGGTTGCCTTTTTACCACGTATTATATTTCCGCTGTCTAGGTGGTGTGTCAATGTTTTACATTCCTCCTAATCATTAAGGTCCAGGTCAAATTCGGGGTAGAGGTCTTTGGTGGTGACGCCCCTGATCGCAGCTAGGAGAAAAAAACACACAAAGAAGATTGTGTAAATGACGTGGAAAGAGAAAACACAAACAAGGCAGCAATTGCTTCCACAAACTCTCTGGAATTGGAAAGTTAGTCATATTAACAGTGTTGGAAGGGATCATCTAGTCCACCCAGGCAAGAGACCATTATTAATTTATATTAAATAATAGTAATAGTAATAACAACAACAGCAGCAGCAACAACAACAAAACAACAACAACAACAACAACAACAACAATAATAATAATAATAATAATAATAATAGGAAATCCTGAATTTATCAGACTTGAATACCCTGATTCTCCAAAATCCACCCTACTTGGAACAGCTTATATCCTCCGATGCTACCTGAACAGTTCCTGGGTCCTTGGTTAGGACTCGAGCTGTTGAGCTACTAACCAGCCCCAAAGTCTGTGAATCTCACTAAAGATTAAATCATCATCATCTACAAATAGAAATAGAATGACTGTGGCAAAAGCAAGCGAGGGTAGTACCAATGGTAAAAGGTGCCTTGGGTGCAGTCCCGAAACAACTGGAGCACCCCTTGAACACTATCAGTGGCATTGACAAATTTGCCATCGGTCAATTGCAGAAGGCAGCTTTGCTTGGAACAGCTTCCATCCGGCGGCGATCTCTATGACACCATCAAACATCCAGATTTGCCTATCCCAGGTTCTTGGCAAGGACTCGATAGGTAGACAAAAATGCCAAACCCAGTCTGAACATCTGGCTGACTGTGCAATGAATAATAATAATCCACCGAAACTACACAATTATGGATGAAGCATATAACAGTGATACCCATTGTCCTCGGGCCACTTGGCACCATGTCCAAAATTTTTTCCAAAACACATCAAGAAAGTGCAGCTTTCTGCAATAACACCAGCGGAACGGCAAAGAAACTGTGCTACTCGGAACATTGTATATTTTAAGAAGATATTTAGGATGCTGGCAGCAACCCGTATCAACTGTTAGCGCCAGTCAATGATATTTGTGATACATTTTTAAATGTTCAGTTGACCGGGTTTCATGTCTAATGAATAATGATAATGATAACAAAACTCTGTCTTGACCGGGTTCGTAGATTTTTGTGCATTTTCTGAATTTTGCGCCTCAGGGCTATTTTATTTTTTGTTTCCTTTGCCTTCTTTCTCCTAGACTGAGAGTATGACTGACCTGGCCCCATGCAGAACTAACACACACCGTTTCTTAGTTTGTAGCTCAGTGCTTTTAACAAGTCCACCAAACTCTCTCTCATAAAACTTAACTTTTGTTTCAAACCAACGTCTCTGCAACCCAGTTTTATGATTTCATTAATCCTATTATGTAAATCACTGATGTTAAAGTTGCTTAAATTTGCCTTATGAGTCTGGAGAAATTGAGAAAACCCCGACTGCTTTAAGTTACTTTTCCCCAACAGCTGCAAGTCCAGGTGTTGGTGTGCACCTTAGAGGCACCAGGAGGTGAAAGACAATGCTAAGTTATCTAAAGGAGAATGTTTAAAGTTTTTTTTAAAAATGTACCTACACCCACCCAGTACGATTCTATATTAGTCCTTACCCAATCTACCTAAAAGCATTTGTCCAGCGTCTTTGATCTCGTTGTATTCATGGAGCAGAGTAATGTGATTTTCCAGTTCCTCCAGGCTGTATCCTCTGGAAAGAAAAACCCAAGATCAGGAAAATTCAAGACAAACCAGATGTGTGATTCTTAAGAGCTGCTGGAGAAGGAACAGGATTCGAGAAAAAAATATTTATGACTCTATTTTATATGCATTCTCCCGCTTTCTAGTAACCCCAGCCTTGCTTAAATTAATAACATGTGTCAACCCCGTTCCTGAGGTACTGTAATTTTAAAATAGTCCACTTCATTCACTAATCTCTGGCAATCAGGCTGTGCTGGGATCAGTCAATGGTTTTCCATTCAATGGTTCCCCAGAGGCTAAAACATACGATGAATGGTTGCAGGAACTGGGCATGGCTAGTCTAGTATAGAGAAACATCAGGGGAGACATGATAGCAGTCTTCCAATATTTGAGGGGCTGCCACAGAGAGGACGAGGGGTCAAGTTATTTTCCAAAGCACCTGAAGGCCAGACAAGGAACAATGGATGGAAACTGAACAAGAGACATTCAACCTGGAAATAAGGAGAAATTTTCTTCTGACAGTGAGGACAATCAAGGACAATAGAACAGAAGTTGCCTTCGGAAGTTGTGGGAGCTTCATTCCTGGAAGCTTTCAGAAATGGTGAAGGGTCTCCTGCTTGGGTGGGGGGTTGGACTAGATGGCCTACAAGGTCCTTTCCAACTCTTGTTCATCTATATCTGTATCTTTGTGGAAAACAGCCTCATAAAAACACAAAACTACAGAAGAAAAAGAGGGCTTTGGAGTTGTCCAGAGCACTCCATTCTCCAAACAGTAGGTCTGGCCCACGTAAATGAACTCAACGTTCCTCTCAAGCTGCCACTCCCCACCCATGCAATACAGCAAGCTGAAACAGATCTCTTAGCGTACATAAAACACGTATAAATACACACTCGGTCTTGATCTGTGCTATTTCCTGATCTACAGCAAGTTCCTTGCGTTTTAGCTCTTCAATTTCGTGCTGCAAAATGTCCTTATCAGCAGGCGGGCAGCTCCTTGGAGAAAGAACCTGTTGGAAGAGAGAAAGACAGATAACGTGAAATGTTTTTATGATTTCAGCACTGGGGTTGATGCCAAGAGATTTTACAATCGCTTCAGAGCTATTGTGTTTCCCCTAAATAAGACCCTGTCTTATATTTTTTGCCATAAAAAAAGCACCAGGTCTTATTTTCGGGGGATGTCCTCCCGCCACTGAATAACTTCACTTGCATGGGTTGCCCCAGCCTCCTTTTCACTGTCAGGCCTTCAGGAATTTTTTTTCTGCAGCCGGCAAGGCTTCCTAAAGGCCTCTGAGGCCGATAACAGAACTCTGGATCAACCCAGAGCTTTGTTATCAGCTACGAAGGCCTTCAGGAAAGCTTGACCAACCTTGCCGGCTGCAGCACGGCAGGTATCAGGGTGGGCGAGGCCTGGCTCCAACTGTCCAAAGGTAAGTAGTAGGGCAGCTCCACCCCCTTTCCCCACCCTAGCTTAATTTTTACCTGTGCACTCGAGTGGGCGGGATCTTAATTAGGGCTTATTTTGGGGGTAGGGCTTATATTGGGCGCAAGTGTAAAAATCAAGCGAGGACTTACTTTCAGGGTAGGTTGTATTTTCGGGGAAACGGTATCGGGGTAGGGTGGGGAATGAACACCATGAAAAGCCAAAATCTACTCAGCCCTTTGTAGCATATATCTCTTGCCAAGAAAATAGATGTTTACTCTGAAAAATGTTATTGCACCATATCTCCAGTCTTCCAGACAATGAGACTGTCAAAATAATCATCTTTGGTTTATAAAAAAATAAGTTGAGATTCCAAGCCAACCTATTTATAAGCAAAAGATTTGCATATCTTGCAAAAAGGCTCTTAGGTTGCAACCTGTCCCACTCGCTAAAAATCCAACCCAACCATCATGGGTTTATAGCTTAGCGTTTTCTAAGAAAATTAAATCAAGAGCCTCCAAAAATGTTGATTTACCTTTAAAAAATTGATACAATTCAGTTTTATGATTGCAAATAGCGATATTGACCCAATCAACAGGCATACTCTTATTTTGACCTGTTGAATTTAACTTTTAGTCCCACTTGGTTTACAGCCCAGTGGATCCTGGCCACGTATCAAAATCACCTACAGAAGTTTTTCTCAAGGAATCTGGGCTACAATTGTGGCTGCCAAAACTGCCTCCTACATTCCTGGAGTGTCAGACCCATCTATCAATGCACATTATATAGAGGGATAAGAAATATGATTTTATACACACTTACAGGAGATTTAAAGCTTGCATTACAACTTCTACGGACTGTTTGAGGTGTCCTGAATTTAAAAAGAAAGAAAGAAGGTCAAGAAAAGAATTTAAAAGTTCTTCAGATGAGTCAGAACAAACCTGAATCCTCAGGTTAGCCAAGAAATGAATTAAAGTGCAAGATTTAAACCGCTCTTACCTCCATATTAAAGGTTTGGGGGAGATTTTCCCCCTTAATCCTAGGTTATGCTTGCCCCCTTGAGTCAAAGGGGATTCATGTTCTTGTTTAGCCAGACTATTTTCCAAGCTGGTGGTAGAACTGCAATCTGGAACAACTTCCTTTTCCTTCTGCATCTGACGATTCATACAGTCGTTGGGAACAGAAAGAATAAATGGATTGTTGCAGCTCACAGTCATGCATAATTCATAAGCATCTTGTTTTGCTGGGTTGCAGTCCAGAAACTGGAGACTGTTGGCTTATTCCTTGCAGGGATGCATCTCCTCTGTTCTGTCAAAGCGGTGACATAAAAAGATCACAATTTTTAAAAAAATTGGAACGATTCAAAAGTAAAACATCAGAAAACCATGGCCAACGTACAAGGGGCTATGACATAAATAGTGAAAAGGGGCCGGCAAGGCAAACAGATTAAAAACCATAAACAGAAAGGTTTGTAGGAAATTGCAAGGCAAGCATTATACTAAAAACCAAATTTAGACTTTTGTTAAAACTAGGAGTTAGTGTTAGGAATAACAGAAGTTTTGGAATAGCACTGACATCCATGATAAGATGGTGCTTTAAAAGTCAATGAAGGATTTCATGGGGTTAAATCAATATTGCGGATTCCTCAACTGTTAGGCAAAATGTTGCACCCTTACAATAAAAAATAATTTATTCGATGTATTTGCTGCCCAACTTCCACCTTTTCCATCTAAAATAGAGCTAGAAAGGACCTTAGAGGTCTTCTAGTCCAGCCCCCTGCCTCAAACAGGAGACCCTTACAGACAAGTGGCTGTCCAGTCTCTTAACACAGACCCTGCCTTTCTCGGGTTTTTCCCAGCACTTTCCTTTGTATTTGGCAAAGCACCTTGGAGATTCAACCCAGCAAGATCCAAATATTCTGCCACGCTCCATTAAGACAAGCAACCTGCAGGATAGTGCAACTTGGATTGGGGCTTTGCAAACTTGGGGAGGCTCAACTCTCGGAGGAAAAACATGTTCTTTGGTGAGGTCCCTTCCTATTCCTGTTCTTTGTGAGCCAACCTGATTGCAGAATGACTCAGTGGGAAGGAACCTGAAATACCAGCTTTGATCGCAGCCATCTGGCAGAGGTTGCCTTGCCTTGGTTAGCTAAGCCAGCTTTCAAAAGGATTGCCCCAATCATTTATTGGGGATCTCGAGCCTTTTGGGGAGCGGGGGAAAAGGTTAAAAAAGGGCATCTGCAATGCTGTGAAGATACATCTTTAGGCTGGCTCCCCCTTTGGAAAACAAAAACCACCCGTCAGATGATTCGGCAAAACCACATGCATTTAAAATAATAATATAATAATAAAATTGTGGAAAGCAACCCAACAGGTTGGACCTGATACCATTCCAAGGGAAGCCTAAAAATGAGATTTTCCCAGTCCAGCTCAGCAAGCAGCTTTCTTCACAAAAAGCTCCTGGTTTTTTGGGAAGGAGGGTATCGCAAAGCTGCAACCCCTCTCCCCTAACATTAGTCCCCCGACCTTTTCAGGGCAAGGGGACTCCAGCTCCCATCTTTCTCCTGGGGATGATGGGAGCTGGGAGTCAGGCTGGGGATGATTAGGAGCTGGAGTGGGAGAAACCAGAAACCCCCACAGCCTCAGGAAAAGCTCTGCTGAGTCTCTAAGCTGCTGCTCTGAGGATGATGGGCGTGGTGGCTCCAGGCAGCTAGGGGTCCCCCACCCACTACCCACCAACCCCAGGTCCCATCATCCACAGCCTGATTCTGTTGGACTTCCCCCGCCTTTTCCCTTGAGACTTTTAAAATCCTTTTTTTAAAAAAAGCCCTTTCTCATTGCATCACTATACACCAGAAGAAAGAAGAAGCACAGATTCGCGTACGTCGTTGACAAAGAAAAACGAAAAGACCAGAAACGCCACAGAAGGTCGGCCATTAAGAGGCTGAAAGCAGAGAGGGCGCATGCGCCTCCGCCGCGCATGCGCGGAGCCAAACAGACGCGTCTCCGGCCAGCCCAGCCTCGGCGGGGGGGGGGCGGCAAAGGGCGGGGCTTCCTTCCCATTGGCCCAACGGCGGCGGCGCCCCGTCCCCTCTCAGCCCCCCCCCGCGCGCGTGCGCAGTAACCGCGGTGGCCGACCTGGCCCGGTTTGCGGGTGGAGCCTCGGGCCGACCCAGCCGCGTCGCGTCGCGCCGCCTGCCGGGTTGACGTGGCTGGGTCCGGGCGGGGAGATGGCGGACGACAGCAGGCAGAACAAGCTGGCGGCGGCCAAGAAGAAGGTACAAAGCGGGGGGACGACAGCGGGAGGGGTGAGCGGCCGGGCCCGAGTTGCGTCCTGAGGCGGCGAGGCCTAGTCCGGGCCGGGCCTGGCCTGGCTTCGTCGGGGACCGCCCTCCGCCTCGGGGCCCCGTGGAGGGACGCCGCCGCCCCGCACCCCTCCTGCCTTGCCTCTCTCACCGCCCTCGCTGCGAGTCCCATCCTCCTCAGACCTCCCGGCTTCCGGGGACTACAACTCCCAACCTCCCCTCCCCGCGGCCTTGATCGCTTCTGGGACCCGGGGGCGGGTGGGTGGGGCGCAGGGCCAGGCGAATGGTCCCGGAGGTCTTCTGGGGGAGGGTTAGCAGTAGGGTCATTTCTCTTCCCGGAGAGCGCGGCCTTTGGAGAGGTGGGGGCTGATGGGATTTGTAGTCAAAGGTGGGGAGACCTGGGGTGGGGAGGGAAGATGTTTGGGGTAAAGGCGGGGTGTGTGTGTTAAATCAGCCCCCCCCCCGGGATCCAGGAGATCCCTTTGCAAACCAGGGAGAAAAACCACTGAAGGGGGGGAGCCTGATGGGAGTTGTAGTCAAAGGGGTGGGGGGGGCGAGTCCCGAGTTTGGGGGGGGCTTCTGTGGGTGCTTGCAGAAGTTACATTGGGGTAACGCTATCTTGTAATGGAGGCTTGCAACGAGGGAGACCCTCCCCATAAATCAGCCCCCCCCTCTGGGATTTTAGTACATCCTTTTGCAAATCTGGGAGAAAAGAGGGGCTTGGAAAAGAGGGGAGGGGGCTTTTTTGCAAAGACACTTCCGTGCCTTCTTGGGGGACTAAAAGTTGGATGCACCCCTTCCCTTTATTTGCCCCTTTGCAAAGATGTGCCCTCGCCCCCCCACCCCCCCAACAGAGGGGGAGGAGGAGAACAAACCCTAAACGTGATTTAGTAGAAGGGGTGGAATCCAAGTGGGTAGTTTGGGGGTGGGGGGTGGGGGTAAATCTGCTTTTGCTTAAAATATTTCCTTTGTTGTGGGGATTTGGGGTGAGGCCACAGAATGGCAGCTTTTTAAGCATCAGACAGAGGTAATCCTCAGCTTACGACCACATTTGACACCAGCATTCCCATGGCTAAACAAGGGGGTTGTTGAGTGAGTCACATACAGTTTTAAGAACTTTTTTTTTTTTTTTGCCAAAGTTGTTAATCAAATCGCTGCTTTTAAGTGAATCCGGTGGTTCCCCCATTGACTTTGATTCTGGGAAGGTATTTTAAAGTTTAGAATCTGTCCCCAAATTCCCCCACCCCTTCCCAGGCCTGAATTATTATAATTTTTGAGGGGCAGATGTTGTTTCTTCCCCCCCCCCCCTTACATATAACCATCTCCTATACAGGTAGTCCTGGACTTATCACAGTTTGTTTACCATTCAAAGTTACAACGGCACTGAAAAAAAAGGGACTTTTAAGGGCGTTTTTTCACAGTTACGACCCTTTGCAGCATCTCTTGTGGGATCAAAATCAGGTGATTGGCAACTGGTTCATAGTTATGACCGTTGCTGTGTCCTAGGGCCATGTGACCCCCTTTTGTGACCATCTGACATGCAAAATCAATGGGGAAGCCACATTCACTTAACACCCATGTTACTAACTTATCAGCTGCCGTGATTCACTTAACAGCGGTAAGAAAAGTTGTAAAAATGTTGCAAAACTCACTTAACAAAGGTCTCACTTAGCAATGTAAATAAATGTTGGCCTCAATTTTGTGGGTCATAAGTCAGTTTTAGCTCTTGAAGATGTTCGTGGTCAAATCAGCATACCCTGAAACCTAAATGGCTTGTAAGCCAGGTGAAACGTCTTATCAGGTGAGAGTTTTGCATACCGAAAACTCCAGGCGTTTTTTCCAAATTTCCTGGATAAATGAGACGCCTGTCCATGGCACGTGCTGACTTTGTGGCGTTTAGGAAGAATGCTGCTTTCGTGAGGTGCCTTTTGGGCGGCGCTTTCTTTCTGAAATAAAGGCAGGATCATCTGGAATGCCTTGAAAACCAACCCTAGCGTGTGGTTCTAAAAACTAGCCATTGAAATTGGTTACTATAACACCGAGATAGTAAAATTTTCTCCTAGTGTGGAGATCAACTAAGATTAGCTCCCAAGCTGTTTAATCATGTGTGACCTGCGTGGGTGGCTGACTTGTCTATGCAGGGCAGCGGATTTTAGGAAATAATGAATATTTTGGCCTGGTTTTATAGAGTAGAACTCTAAAAAGCCTGGAATATTTATTTTGTTGAAGGTACAGTATGAAAAGTAGAGACTTTTTGATTCGACTCTCTGTGGGTCATAGTGAATTTCTTAACTTGCTGCCTGGCTATTGAATGTAGCTGGTGAATTTCATTCAGCTTGGTGGGTAACAACTTACCCCAATGCAAAATTATCACTGGAGGTTTTAAAGAAGAGATTGGACAGCCATTTGCTTGGAATGGTATAGGGTTGCCTGCTTGAGCCGGACTAGAAGACCTCTAAGGTCCCTTCCAACTCTGCCGTTCTGTGTTCTAACATAGGGAAGGACTAGGGGTGACATGATAGTAGCATTCTGATATTTGAGGGGCTGTCACAGAGAATAAGGGGTCAACGTAATTTTCCAAAGCACCCAAAGGCAGAATAAGAAGCATTGCATGGAAACTAATCAAGGAGAGATCCAATCTAGAACTATGGAGAACATTTCTGACAGAACAATTAACCAGTGGAACAGCTTGCCTGCAGAAGTTGTATATGTTCCAAAAGTGGAGGCTTTTATGAAGAGATTGGATAAATGTTTGTCTCAAGTGGCACAGGGTTTTCTGCTTGAGCAGCGGGTTGGACTACAAGACCTCCAAGGTCCCTTCCAACTCTGTTGTTAGGTCTGGTAAAGTTGGTGGTAAATGGAAAGAGCCCTGTCTTTTTTTCCTGTCTTGTATCAATGAAAGAGTTTAAAGTCAGCTTCAGCAAAAATTTCAAGGACAAGTTTGGTACAAGGACTTCAGACCAAAACCTTGGCTTCAAACCAAAATAAGTAAATCAGATAACAAGATAGACTATTGGGGCTCTAAGTTTAATATTTGGTTGTTGTCTGTGGCTGTGTTGCAACCTTCAGTCAAACAATGTATGAGAAATAGGTCAACAGAAGAAACCTATTAACTCTTTCATTTGGGTTTTAATTTCAGTTCAAATCTGAATTGATTGAAGGTAGAAATTGCTTCATTGTTTTAAGAACAGTAGGTTTTGATTAATTTTTGTAATTATATATAAAGAAAGATTGCACATAGAACTGGAAAAATGATTCAAATAGATATCTAGATATCTGGATGTGATTGTTTAAATACTTCTTTAAAATGTTGCTATGTGGGTTTTATCCAATCTTCAACAGACTGGTTACTGTTGGTTCCAACTATACAATACTGTATATTACAGTCTTTTGGAGTGTATGAACATAATCTAATAGCTAACAAAAAGGTTATATGAGAATATGAAGTAAATGCTTGCAAAATTTGGATTGAATCGTAGTTTCACATGTTGGGGGAAAAAAGGCTGTTTGAAGACTTATGTTGATTCCTCTATAAGCCTATTTTATAAGTTTCCAAAATATATATGGGTGTTTTTTCCTTGCCATTTTTGCTAGGAATGAAACAGGAAACTAGCTTGTGAAAGGGTGCAACCACATCAGTAGAAATGTTAAAATGTCACCTAACCGAAACTAACGGATTAGGGGATCTAACGTTACAAGCAGTTTTTCAAACCGTAGGGACCCTGTAGTATCAACTCAGGGAAAATCACCTGAATAATCAGTCGATTCAATCCATTTCCTCCTCTTCCTGAGGGTACCATTTTATTTTATTTTTTTAAAAAAATACCTTTCTTTGCCATCTTTTACTTTTGCATGGAGACTGTTCCAACTTAAGCTTAGATTAATTTCAAACCTTTCAACCTTTTTTTTCCTCAGCTGAAAGAATATCAGCAGAAAAACAGCCCTGTGTCCACAGCGGGGGCCAAAAAGAAACGGAGAGGCAAAGAAGCAAGCCGCCCAGAGACGCCTGTTAGTGATGGAGTACAGTCTCCTGAAAACGTAAGTATTCTCTTCTGCCACGTCCTCCAGTGTCTGTTGCTTCCTGGATTCTGCTTCAAGCAGAGCATGGCTGGTGCAGGAATTCTGGGAGCTGACGTCCATAGGTGATAAACGGGCTGTAATTACCTTTCTCCTGCTGCACCATAGAGAGTATCTTAGCTTACTGCACCTGTGTAGGATTTGCCACTTGCACAGTGGCGATAGGACAGCGCTCCAGAGGGTGAATATCATTGCCCAGAGGATCATGGGTTGCCCTCTCCCCTCTTTGGAAGAGCTTTATAGCTCCCGCTGCCTTAAGGAAGTTCACAACATCCTCAAAGATCCATCTCATCCTAGGCACCCTTTTTTTGAACTATTACCATCTGGCAGACGGTACAGGAGAATAATAATAAAAAAAAAAAACAAGGACAAAATAGGCTGAAAAACAGCTTCTACCCCAGGGCAGTAACTCTGTTGAATTCTACTGTATAGTGCAATATTAATGCAATATCGGGGTTTTTCAATTCAATGTATAGAATGTGAAGGATGTGCGTTTATGTTTATTTTCATAGTCATAATGTACACTGAAGGTGGTGTTTGATTTCATTGTACGAGGTGCAATGACAATAAAGTAAGCTAAACTAAACTCAGCTACCAATGCTAAGCTGCAGATCTCCAGATCTCCCCTCTACCTGTCTTGGATACCTGCTGAGATCTTGGCCATCTAGCCTTCTTCCAGATGGGAGTTTTTAACCCTGTGTTAAAATTGGATTGTAATTTTAGTATAGTTAGACCAGATGTCTCCAAACTTGGCAACTTTAAGATTTGTGGACTTCCACCTGTGCTGGCTGAGGAATTCTGGGAGTTGAAGTTCACAAGTCTTAAAAGTTGCCAAGTTTGAGGATCCCTGAGTTAGACCATGTATAATTGACAGACTGGATTTTATCATAGATTTTAGATATTTATTATTTTATACTAGAATTTTTAGTTGTATGTTTACTGAGCGTTTTTATTTGTTCTGGTCTCTGGATGTAGTAAGCTGAATGGATTGGTTGAACCTTGTGCAATCGACCCAAGGACAGGTAGTCCTCAGTTTGCAGCCACAAATAAAAGCCCCAAATTTCTGTGGCTCAGCTTTTTACGACTTTCCTCGCCACACTCGTTAAGTGCATCACTGCAGTCGTTAAGCTAGGAACGTGGTTGTTAAGGGAATCTGGCTGCCCCACTGAGTTTGCTTGTCGGAGAGTTTCAAGAGGTTGGTCACATGACCCCGGGGATGCTGCCACCGTCATAAATATGAGCCAGTTGCCAAGCGCCTGAGTTTTGACCGTGTGGCCACGGGGATGCTGGAATGGTCGTAGGTGTGAAAAATGGTCAGAGGTCACCTTTTTCAGTGCCGTGGTAGCTTAGAACAGTCACTCAATGGACTGTTGTAAGTTGAGAACTACATATATGTGTTTCTCTTTCTCCTTCTCTCTGTTTTCTGTCTTTCTCCTCCCCCCCCTCCACTCTCTCTCCTTACTTTCTGTCTTTTCTTCTCCCTCTCTCCACTCCTTCTCTCTTTATCCTCTCCCTCTGTTTTCTGTCTTTCTCCTCCCTCTCTCTCCACTCACTCTCTCCTCTCCCTCTTTCTTTTCTCCTGTTTTCTGTCTTTCTCGTCCCTCTCTCTCTCTACTTTCTTCTCTCTTTCTCTCTCTGTCCTCCCTCCTTCCCTCCCTCTCCTTCCCTCTCTCTCTCTCTCTCTCGTGTTAAGAAACTACATGCAAAACTATAAGAACGAACCTTTGATTTTAGAGTTGCGTCCTGGCAAGTCAGAATAAAAATGCTTCCCCTTTGAATTTGCCCTCCTAAAACGGAAAGAAATCCCCTGCCAGCGAGTTCCAACGTCTCCAGGGGCCCTTGCTTGTCCTCTTCACTTTTCCTGCCGGGCTTCTTGGTCTCGTTCCTTTCGCTTCGGGGGGACTCGACGTTCTGTCCTCTCTCTTTTTTTTTTCTTTTCTCCCATTTTTCCTTTTTCTCAGCTCTTTCTCTTCCCCCTTTTCTCTTTTGCTCCTGTAGATTGAGAACCTTCTGAAGGTGCTGGTGTCCGACTTTAACGGCTCCAATGGGGTAGCCATACCTTCCTTGGACAAGTGGAAGGTGAGGCAGCTTCCAGAATCCGTCCGGCTGGGCTTACTCTCCAATCCCTACCGCCTGCTTCCAAGCGGGGCTGAGCCCGTCGGGCCGTGTTTGGGGGCGGGTTGGTAGGCTGCAGAGCCTCTGGGAATGTCCTCGTGGCCTCGTTCGTGCAGCGTTATTTTTAACCTCCTGCTTTCCCCCTCTGTTCCTCTGTGCATGCCGTTGTTCCTTAACCAGGTTCAGATTACCAGGCCAAATGTCCCCCTGGGTTTTCCAGGCAGAGCAGCTGCTTTGAAGCACGCGCCGTCCTTGACTTATGTCCGCAGTTGAGTCCGTTAGGGGAAACATTTGTTAAGGGAATTCTGCCCTGTTTTGCTATTTCTCTTGCTGTAGTTCTTAAGTCAAG